ATATATATATATATATATGAGTCTGATAGGCATGTTGGGTTTGTGTATCGTGGGTAAACCATATAGTGTGGGTATAGTGTGGTGGTATTCTATTAATCTAGTGCACCCCATAAGTTAGCTAGAGCCAAAATTCTAACTCCGTTTCTAGGCACCATCAGCACTACACATGAAACACTCGGGTAACTTACTCTAAAGAATACGATATATAAATATGAGTAACATGTCTATGGTAAGTTTAGACATCAAATTGCAATATAGCAATATATAGCAACCACGAAATGATTAATGTATTAAGATTTCAACTAAAAACTCCAAGGAAAAGCTTCCTCAACCCGTCCACAAAATTATAAAGATATGCAAATTAATTACTAACCACTGATACCTTTCTTTCAATAACATTTCTACAAACCAAAAATTCGGTTTATCAGTGGTGTTCTCGCTTGCCTCTTTCTAGAAATCTTAGAATCCTTCCCATTTAAACATATCTAACAGCTCTACTTACATAGATGATATCCTCTTACTTTATCCCCAAGATTCAAACCTATTAAACATAATAATAAAACTCAATAAGGTTGAACCTACCATCGAATTCACACACAAACTTGAAATAAACAACTCTCTACCTTTCCTTGATATCTTATTAATAATCAACAATGATAAATGAGATTTTAAAGTTTACCGAAACACACAAAAACGGCCCAATCTATCTATCTATCTATATATGTATATATGCATGTTTCATTAAAAACGACAGACAATTTACTGAGATTAAACTTTTTTATTTAATTTTTCTTGTGTTCCAACAAGTGTTTTCTTTTTTGGGACACAGAGCGTGTAGAAACTATTCAAATGTTCTATAATCCCGAGCGCTTTTGTCTATACGTTTAACCATTATCAAGGATTTTTTTTCAATTTAATTGGGTGTGTGCGTTGTGCGTATGCTTTTAGTGTTCTAGAGATGTTTTATTTTCCGTCATTTTTAATGGAACATGCATAAATGAAGGATTGCAACCTAAATACACAATATATATATATATATATATATATATATATATATATATATATATAAGTATAGGATTGGTGTATACGGAATAAATTCCAATAAGCAAAAAATACTATTCTTAAAGAGTGCTCAATACAGAGTAAATCAAATATAACTTATTCGAAAATTATAACATAAATATGTTATAAAATCACTACAAAAATAGCTATTTTGTTTCAACGCTTCTGGCTATTTTGGTAGTGATTTTATAACATATTTACGTTATAATTTTTGAATAAATATATATATATATATATATATATATATATATATAAAAGAATTTTTTAACCAACATTATTTTTTTATTAGTATAAACGTTATTTTAGTGGGTAAACGTGTTTGAGTTGCTATCCCCGTCGAAGGCATAATTTTTGTTTAGTAGGATTTCCCAATCTAGACTGGTATATATATATATATATATATATATATATATATATATATTAAAATAAAATTAAGTTAAATTCAGAAAGAGGCATCCCAATTAGGAAATAAAACGATATACGTGGAGTACTGAAACGTTTTCGTCTCGATCAAAAAACCTTTAAAAAAAGGAGTCAGATGTTTGGTGATTTGGTTAAATTTTGTGAAAGCTGAGTATTTTTCAGCATCCTTCGCATGATTATTGGTTGGGAAAAAAATTCGTAAAATATAGACGTAATGAAAAGCTTCCTGTGAATCTGCTTAAAACGTAAAATGTGCAATGTGTGTATAAAGTCAGCTATGATGTACGGGTGTTAAACATGGAAATTGAAAAAATCATTTGAATCAAAGGAAAAAAAAACGACGTTAGGAATACCTCTAAGAGATATAAAAAGATGAACTGGGATCCTATAACAAACTAAGGAAAGAGATATAAAAGTGATTAAGTTACACGTATGAGAGTGATCAGGACACATATTAAGAAGGAAGGATAACATATGGAGCAGTAGGTTCCCAATAGATAATATTACGCAGTAGGAGAAACCAAATATAAAATGGGGAGATAGAAAGGTTTGATGGTAAGACATGGCAGAGTCATTTACAGTCATTCATGAAATAGCTGAGAAAAACCAATGCCTACAGCGGACTCACAATAGCCGCTGTTTAAGATGTCGATGATAATTGAACTAAAATAACAAAACAGTTTGCATATAACAAGGATGCAAACAAATTAACTGAATTAAGACAAATGAATCAGTAGACAGAAGGACCAGAAGCCAAACGATGGAAAGGGTTTGTTTTAATTAATAATTAAACACTAAAATAAAAATACATTGAAAGAAAATAATACCAAAATCATCGACATTAATAATTTAAAGAACCAGCAAATTTGGAAAAACTCGTTTCGTACACCATTACTGGTGGACTGAAATCAGTTCACATACAGCGTCAGAAGAAGCTAAACTTAGAGTGTCTCATTGTAGTTAACTAATTAAGATCATTACAACTGTAGTGAGTTCAAATATCATAGTCTCCCCATAATTTTTGACCTTGTACCAGACTAGATTAACCTTAATAAATATCAATTGCCTCGTTGTAATCAACAAATAACTACTACTGAAGGGAACTTAATTCTTACTGGGTGCCCTACAGTTGTAGATTTATGCTAATCTATGCGAAGCGTTTAGTAACCTCGCCGTGGAGCAAGAGGCAGCAAATTAGTTTCGCTGATCACGAATTCTTTCTGTAATGAATACGATCCTCAGTAAGGATCTCAAACTTTTAGCCTTCAGCCAGACTATGCTTAGCTTAGTAAATAGCTGGGCGCCTTCATTTATAGTAAGCAAGATTTGAATATCAATACTTCTGTAGTGAGTTCGCTATTTACTTAGTGCCCCAGCTTCATGGTCTTGTGTCATACTATATTAGATATCAATAATCGACAAGAAAGTATTAATAGACGCTCGCCCTCAATAAAAAAAATAATACTTTTCTGATTATGAGTCATGGAATATACTTACCTCGATGAGGCGTATTATAGTATATAAGCATTTAAATACAAATTATAATCGTTTTAACATACCTTTTACAGATTCTTGTAAAAAAGACCTTTTTGAAGTGGTAATCGGACACCAATCGGATATTGTTTTCTATGGACGAAAATGAGAATGTATTGCATGCACAACCTATCAAAGCAACGTGATATTATCCAAGTTTTATTCATGCTGTTATCCAAGTTTTATTCATGCTGTTCAGTAATTGTGTGAAAGAAAATAATTCTAAAGATTCTAGTCTTCATTCCGACGCTAATTAAAAACAACAACAACTACTACTACTACTATACTACTACTGCCATCGACTAATGGTTAGCAACTAGTCTAACAAACCACTTGTTAGGGTAGCAGTTCGAGTCTATATTAGCCTTGTGCCAGACACAGCGGAACTTGCTAGATAACTACTGAGATTTACCAGTGTGACCAGTATTCGAGACGGAGTATAAACCCAAATTGTAAACGCTGGTAATCTGTCGCATCCAAGTGCTGACTTCAATGTTCACTTTTATATTACACACGCTCTATATAGAGCACTTTTAACCCATAAATATAGCAAACCATAAGACTATATTTCTTCATATTCATATATATATATATATATATATATATATATATATATATATATATATATATAGTTTACATCTAACAAAGTCAGTCAGTAAATTATTGGTGGATAAGAAGCGCATATTTTTGTAAATAAAGTGCTCCACATAAAAAAAGTAGACCATCAAATAGATAAATTAAAAGTTAATGACTTATCTCAGTCAGTTATGTGTCATGCGTGATACACGCTCAGGAGATCATCTATATGTCGATACATGACTGACGAGGCAATATTTTTCCCGCGGTAGATTGCCATTTCTCTCTGCGGTAGACTAATTGCCATCCAAGGCTATAGAACACGGTATAGTGTATTAGCACGTAAGTGCATGTAATGGATTCGACTGGAATTCGAACTCGGCTCTCCAATTCCTCAATCCGAGCCGCTATCCAATACTCCTCCCAATGACTTATCTACCGACTCGAAATTTCGCACACATATATCTACTGACTTGTGTCTGTGAAGTTTCGTTGACACAGATCAAGGAAGATGTGTTTCGGGTCGGAATATGAATAATTGAACTTTTTTATCTATTCAATATATATAACATTTTATACCATTGGAACTTTTACTTTCATTTCCCAGTTGTTTTTAACATAGCATTTTGTTCAACAGAGTTTATGGTGCTATTTTGAGTGTATGTTATATTCTTTAGAAGTGGTTACCTACTAGACTAGAACAATGTACAAATACGAATGTTATGAGAGAGATGAAGGTATTCGCCCGGGCAATTCACATTAAATACAATGCCTTATTTCAGAACTTAATCTAACACTGGGAAAGTCGTTAGATCGTTCGAAGATCGGTTAGATCAGAGTACGCTTCGATCTGCAATCGAGAACGGCAACGCAAAAATATCACTTCGTCTGATACTATTCCATAACCATTTCAGTGAACGTTGTTTTGGTTTGCTTTTTTGGTATTCATTTCCATGATTATTCTTTCAGTCGCAAAACGAAAATAAAAGTGGGACGGGGTCGAAGAGAAAAGATAGTCTACTTTGAATATAAGTTATTATTGGCCGTTGATCGCCTGACGTTGGATATTTCACAGTTGATAATGAGTGCGGCCTTTGCAGGGCACAAAGAGACAAATGAGATTGTAAAAGCGTTTACTGACAACTGATGATATTTTTATTGCTGCCACAAAAAAACACTAGAAAGAATAAAAAAAAAACCCATTCAGATAGATTAATAAAGACGAAGAAAGGGATCTGAATTGCATTTTCATATGTATATATAACAGGTTCCTTTCGTCTGTTCTTAGCTTTTATCAAACTGTATTTCTATCCAAGTCTGTACATATCCAATTAATTTTGTTATCTACTTCAGTATATATCGTACCTTATTCCCACCCCTCTTTCTTTATATCTATCTGTCTGTAGATATTCATTTTATCTATGGATGTTCATTTCTATCTATCTATCTATCTATCTAATAGTAATGGTTTGCCCGACTAACTAGCTAAATTTCACACCACGGCCAGATGTCTTAGCTATCAATCTGTCTCAATCAATATCGCTTTTTAATAACCTCTTAAGTAAGTTTATATGTATCAATGTATCTATATTTGTTTCTACTTAACTCAGTCTCTTTATATATTTACCTGCCTCACTTTCTTCGGGTTAATTTCATTTTGTGTGTCATTCGATCTAATTCTTTTTGCCCAATTTATAAATAAAAGGTTGTGTACATGTTTTCTCTCTCGTTTTCTGCGCATGCGCCAAATTTGACACTTTATTTAATGCTTCTGCGTAATCGTTTCCCGTGCATTCCCTGAAGTACCTCCCCATTTTCTTTGTCCTCTCGACTGATGCTTAAAAGGGATGCACATTCCACCAGGTAGGTGTGTCAATTTCACCAGGGACTGCCGAGAACTGAGTACCTAGCAGATGCATTTCTTCCCTTCTTCCTTTTCTTCATCATTAAAAACGCTTAATAATACGCCACAAATTGCCTGGTTACAGTAGCGTTTTTTTTAGATTTCCTCACGCTCAGGTCTCAGAGCCTTTTATATTTCGAGGGCTTTTTTTTGTTGTTGTCTTTTCCTCATCTTTACCTAAAAAGACTACGTTATGAATATCTTAATGAGAATGGCACGACTGTCGCTTGTCATTAAAACAGGGTTTTCTACTTCATATTCTATAAATTGGGATCAAATGGAGATCATATATGGATCGGAATCCACCAGAATGATAATGAACAAATAGGAAATGTTTATCAATCTAATATGTTTCACTATTATTAAAGCTTCATCAGAGAATGAGATATGGAGAAAAAATATATTCTGCTTCACTTAATGGATCTTTTGAAGCCGGTAATATTTGTTATTACTATAAATGCTATATTTAGGGAATACACAGGTTCGAGTAGAATCTTTTTTAAACAAGTAAACAAGTCGGTAAAAGATAGAAATATCTACTCAAGTAAGTGTAGCAACTAAATATAACGTTTGTTATATATATATATATATATATATATATATATATATATATATATATAAAGGGTGCTTGAAAAGTAACTCCCCATTTTAAAATACTTATGATCTATTTATTAAGAATATTTTTTACAAGAAATGGACATGAGAGGAAAGCGTTTATGGAAGACATAACTTCTTTTCTTGTATTCGCCCTTCAAGTTTTTCCAAAGTCTTAGTTTGGCAGAGTAGACTTGCTCCTTTAACCAACTCGAAGGAAAAAAAGTTAAAGGGTGTTACGCCAGGACTCCTGGCTGGTCGCTCATGCATAAAATAGGGAATTACTTTTCAATCACCCTATATATATATATATATATATATATATATATATATATATATGTGTGTGTGTGTGTGTAAGAGCGAGAGAAAGAAAGGAGTTGAACAGGCAACTGGAGCCTTTAAGAATATTTATTTACAGTAACTTTACCGGTTTCACATTCACACTTCTATGATTTTCAAACGTGAGATGGAGAAACATGTGATTATGCCATGATATGTCTCGCATCCCCATATATCTCAACGCGCATATATATATATATATATATATATATGAGAGAGAGAGAGAGGGCATATACTGTAAACTGAGAGTAAGCTAGTGTTTCTAGATCATAGTTATAGTAATTAATTCGCTTTTCACTGAGTCTTCCTCTGTTTTGTGATCTTTTGGTCAGACCAAACTAAAGTTCGTAAATGTCGAAATATTTATAAGTGTACACATTAACGTGATTTTTATATAAATATTCATAGAAGAAATGTAGAATGACTGTGTAGCACCAACCTTTCAAGTGGGCAAGGTTTATTTGTTTTTGAAATCATAATATGAAATTTTGGTATTTATCCGAGTGCGAATACTGACTTTTGGCATTAGTGAGATTTACAAAACTATTCCCAGCCATTGTTTCGTATATGTAGTTTGTATTAATATTAAAAAAAAAAAAATGGAAAATGAACAAAAATTAATGTCGCTGACATAATTTGTTTACACGCGGGAAAGTTGAATCACTCTGCTGTAAAAGTTCTTCTCGTGTAGGGAGCTTACCCTGAACTACATAATTTGGTTCAGCGTTTTTACAGCACTGTCGTAGAGTAGCGATTAATGAGCGAATCTAATATGCCACTGATAAGTTCGATAACAATTGAATGCTCGATCACTGAGACCTTGTGCCAGGATAAGGTAAACTTGGAAAATGTCTATCTTTATTTTTCTGTCTATATGTATCAGTCCAATTCTTCAGATGAATATATCCCTTTATCTACCACTCAATCAATGGATCTGCTTGGTGGTTGACATAGCCTCATATTCGATGTTCGATTCCAGGTGTCATCCAAGATTTTGAATGCTGATTTTCAAAGCAATCTGGCAATTTCTTATTAGTGGTTTGCATACTAGTAAAATATGCAATAGATGGTATAATTATCTATTTATCTTTGGGTTTTATTTACTGAGAGTTAGGATTTCACCACCGGTGTTAGTAAGTGTTCGAGTCCAAGAAAGGCCGGATTATTGTTTCTCTTCTCATAGCTGTCAGATTATCTTCACTTTGATGATACAAAAGTCTTTTGTCTGAGAGTCAATACAATAGTCTCATTGCAAAATCTACAATGCCCACGAGACTCTCTCCTCTTTCTCAGTCCGTATTTCTCTGTCTCACCCAGTTTGTTCATATGTATCTCCTGTCTGCCAGTCTGCTTCACATTTTCTCAACGAATCTGTTACGCAGACCCCGATAACAAGAAATTCTTTTGCTACTGCCTGAAAATGAGACCGACTTGTTAAACATGGAAACCATCTTCTTCCTCCCTGGTGCATTGAAATGTTCCTGTTTCTAAGGTAGGTATGATGTCAAGAATTATTTTCCTTCAATCAAACACGCTTTTATCTCAAAACAAACAAAGTCGAGCCAGTTAAGTAAATGCCTATAATTGGCATGCCCTCTGGCTGAGATAGTTGCACATTTCCCACAGTAGCCAGAGAGGGGTGCTCAAGTTGAGATCAAACCCAGGACTTTGAATGCTGATTTTTTAGGTAGACTGGTTTTCCTTATTTGGAAGGTTATCGTAACATAATTTTTATCTCCCAACTGGGTTTTGTGTTATATCAGAAAAAGTTACGTATTTCTCACCGAGACAAACGGTCAGTATTCGAGCCAGGTAAAAAGTTCGAATCTCGAATGCTGATTTTCTCGGTATGTCCACCGTTTGGGAAGATTGGCGTAACGCAAACTTCACTCTCTGTAATTTGGTTTTGTGCCGTCTGTACCAAGGTAACTTAGTAAATAGCAAGATCAGCCCAGTTGCAGGTAGGCTTAAGTGGTGAGCCTAGTTTTGAAGGGAGTGCCTCTTAAGGCAATGTTGTCGCCGATCTGACAGGTCTGGGGTGGATTAGCTGCTTTTGCAGCTCTGTAAATATCAAGGGATCCCCGGGAAGAGGAAGTTGAGCTGAGAAGGCCTTGACGCAGTGTTGCAGTGAAACTCTACCCGAAGCTGGCTGATGACTGGGAATGCGTGGGGATGATGTTGGGGTCTGGAGTATTGGTTTGCTCTTACGTTTTGTTTTACTCCCCTTCCTTTAAGAAGAAAAAGAAGAAGAAGGAAATCGATACCACCCCCACAAGTATAGGAATAGACCTGTAGCCATTTAAGAAAAGGAAGCCACGTATCTCACTTCGTATAGGCATGTATATGCGTGGGCAAACACGTATATATATACGTACGCACAGAATGTAGCATGCTGAATCACTTAGGATCATGCAGTCTCATACATGCACAGTATTGCATTTTAAAAATAGTGTGCATGCTCACCTACATAAGGTATATAATATACCTTATATATATATATATATATATATATATATATATATACGTGTGTGTGTGTGTTACAATTGATTATATTTATAGAGGAACAGTACTCAATATCGGAGGTAGAGCGTTTATATTTAAAGACAGTAGACAGTGTGGGCATATGGATCAACATTGCATGGTTTTTCACGCATGTCAGTTTCACGCTTCAACGTGATCATCAGACCAATGGCAGTGTTGATTCCTATCTATCTATCTATCTATCTATCTATCAATTCCTATCTATTTATCTTTTTTACAATCCGCGTATGTCGATATGCACACACACGTACAAATATATATTCAGAGATGTTGGAAGTTTCTCTGGCCGATTAACTTTCCACAATCGATGACATGTTTTCAGGTGTACAGATGCGAAGACAAATTTTGTGTATTAAATATGCTGTAATCGCGTCTTCAACAAATAAAATTGATATTGTTCAGACATGACAAATTGAAAAGAGGATATCGGCAAGGATATATTTTATCACTGGATTTATTTAACCTCGTACAGCGAAATTATTCTAAGAAGACTAGAAGACTTACAGGATTTATTATCGGTGAACATAATTGTAACAGCACATACCATGCAGATGATATTGTGCTGGTGGCAGATTTAGAAAGAAAAGTGAAATAACTTTTTGATAAGTTAGTCAAGGAAAGCAAGAAGAAAGGACTAACCATTAAATGTGTAAAGACAAAATACACAGTTGTCATCTAAAGAGACAACCCAAGATGCGAGTTATGGATTCCAGCGATAAAACCAAACGAGATAACAAACGATGGAAACTCTAATCTTCAAATATGGCATTGAATGTTGGACAAAATTCCTCACAGATGAAAGATGCGAAGAGACAGAGACTTAATTCTACTAAGGAATGCTGAGAATACCATGGACAGAGCATGTACGAAGGAGAATAAGAAGAACAAAAAAAATGTCCATAGTATTCAGAGACAGCTGGAATTTTTGAGGACACATAATGAGGCAAGAAGGCTTGGAGAATAAAACCGAATTTTCCTGCCGGACTGGCCGGTTTTGTAAATCCTGTTAATGTTGCTTGTGGGTTTTCATGGGTCGAAGCCTTCGTCAGATGATGACTCTGGGGTCAAGCATGGTTCCGGGACAGAAACATCATTACCACAGTAATAACTCACAATATCGCCAGGGTCTTTTGCTTGGAATATTGAGGGGCTAGATGCGTGCAGATGCAGCTTTTGTCCTGCCTGATGAAAAGTTCTCGCCCCAATCTACTTCCAAAAATCTGACCAAATGATGCTCCTATCAGCCCCCCCGTCCCCGATTGATATTTTGTTATTTGCTCTGATTTGGGGAAATGGATCGGGATGAGAACTTCTTCAGTTCCTTTATGCGCGTACGCACATGGAGAGACACACACACATACGCAGACAGACACATACACACGTCTATATGACTTGTTTCTGTCAACATTGTCAATGGTTGTGCCAGTTCTTTTTCATTATTTTTTCACTGTTATTTATAGACATTAACTAAGACCCTAAATGTCTAAGCTTCATGGGACTTCTCGGATGCTGAGAGCTATACTCAACATCTATTGGAGTCAACATCCTACTAAATCACAGTTCTATGGACCCACCCCTGATATCCTTACACGAACACAGAATGCGCTATGCAAGACACAGCTGGCGAGCAAAAACAAGAACTTGCTAGTGATCTACTGGTCTGGACATCTAGCCATAGAGCAAGACCGGCTGATCGCCCAGCAACCATCTACATTGACCGGGTATGTTATGGCACAGAATGCCTCCCTAATGACCCTTTCGACCTTGATGCAGGGCTGTGGTGATTGGTGTGATAGACCCATGAATGTCCGAGATAGCTCGACCGAATAAATAAAATTGCTCGCGTGGTAAAATTTGGAAGTGTAGTTTGCCGAAATGATCATTCGTACGTTCGTTTTCCCGTCAACCATTGTAACATGTTACTAACGAGAAAATCATTCAGTATCTATCTATATTTCTGAGATGAGGTGTTATGTACACTATTTACATTATTCGGACTATTGCCCTCATCTTTGTTGCCATATTTATTACAACGTTTCGGCCGTTGTGCGCACCGGCCTTCTTCAGATGGTTGGAATGTCGAACTGAACCCTTTATTTCGCTCGCTGGTGTGGACCGATCTAGTTCCATGTGCCATGTCTAATGGATGTCAGTTATCATTTATCTCCTGTTAATTCACCTCTCTAAGTTCTCCACTGCCTTAACCGGGTATTGAACTCACAACTCTTTGGGTCCTGTCACTGGATCTAACCAATGCCTTTATCCACTGTGTCATGCGTCCAATAGACATGGCACGTGGAACTAGAACAGTCTACACAGCGAGCGAAATAAATGGTTCAGTTCGACATTCCAACCACCTCAAGAAGACCAGAGCGTACAACGGCCGAAACGTGATAAATATGGCAACAAAGATGAGGACAATAGTCCGAATAATGTAAATAGTGAGAAAATCGTTGTCATTTGTTCCTTTCCCATAAGATTTATGATCATGTGACGTCTCATCTACTTTCATTCCTGTTACTTTTTTATCTTCCTGTCATCCTGGACATTTGAGCTGCTCTTATTTTTTTTTTTTTATTTGATCTTATCCTTTCCCCTCAACATTCTCTCTCAGGGGTGGGATGTATGGCAAGCCTGTCACTGCTCTATCGCTACTTCCACGGAAATTGCTCAAACGAACAACATTTCCTGGTCCTGACAGTTCAGACCTTCACAGCAAGAACACGCCATGCCACTTACAAAGTAGAAAACCACCCACATTCCCTCTGTATTCCATCAGCAATAAGTAAGTTCCACTCAAACAGCTTCTTCCTGCGAAACACTGCTTAGTGGAACCGAGGCCCAAGCGGATGTTTTACTGATTACAACAATCTTAACTTGTTCAAACCTATGATTAACCGTTATATTTTCATCCTATCCGCTCAAATTACCTCCTAATGTAACTCTCTACATCGAGTTACTCTGGGACTTGTAAAGTGTGAACCTTACTGTAAAAGAAAAAAAACACACACACACCATTTCTTCAACTTCTGCTGTAAAAACAGGATTAAGATATTCATATTTACTGAACCATAGCTTATTTTAACAAAATGACACAAATATGGAGCACTCAGTGAGGATCGAACTCCTTACAACAGTAAAGGTTTGTGAGAGTATAATACCAACTTTTACTTTACGGTGATGTATTCTAATTGATATTTACTAATCATAACTTAATCTGCTACTAATGTAGAGCACTCAGTTCAGATCGAACTGTTATGGTGTGTGAGATGAACCAATTCCTTTTCCACAGCAAAGCGTCCCTATCGCCATTTGTTCAGCTTCGATTGTGTAGCAGAAGGTCACAAGTATTGGGTCAATCATCGAGGAACGAATTGATTGGAGCAGTTAATGTTTAACAGACGATCTTGCTAACTACTGGGCCATGCTGAAGTGCACGGTAAGGATTATTTACGTATAACGATTATTTGTTTGTAAGCAACTTGGCAAGAAAGATATTCATTCATGTGTAGTGTGCCTTTGGGCAGAGAAGATCTGGCGGAGCCCATCTCTGTCTATACACTGAATGGATTGGAAGATCATCTAGAGAGGCTCAGATATTCATCCACTACCGGAACATGTGGATTGAACTAGTCAGGTGCTCAGTTGCGCTGTGACCCTACGACAAAATTCGGTCATGGTACAGATGACGATGATGAGGAGGAGGATGAAGTTGATGCTAATTCATCAAGCAAAACGATCTAAAGTTCATCATGAATGTTTTGATAAACATATGTAGCCTGCTGTAGCGTAGTGTTTTACAAGTTTGTCGTAAATGCCCTATTATTGTGGCCTTGTACCAGATTAAGCAAAACCTGTTTGGTTTGGGGCCTGTGACCCGTGTTTGATCCTAGCTAACAACCAAGATTTCGAGTATTGATCTTCAAAGTGAATGAACTTTTCCCGCTTAAAGGTTTGGTCTAACACAATCTTTCTACTTGGATTTTCTTTAATTTACCTCTCTTCCGTACTAAAATAATCTTGTTAAGTATTAATAAGAAAACAAACCTAGCAAAAAGTCACCAATGGAAATCAAACCTATTATTGGCTATACCCCAAAGTCTCCAGTTTTAATTATTATTATTATTATTAATAAGATAGTTCTTTGCTGCGTATTCCCTCTAGTTTTCACACACAAAAAGGTCACTGTGCACTTTTGCATACAAATAAAATAAAATTCGACAAAATAGAGGTAATTTTTAAAACGCTTGTTTTCTGTCAACTGCTTGATCTTGGAACAGAACCTAAGATCACATGTCTTATATCCACAAATACTTTGACGGCTGATTTATTAATCTCGGCGTTCTTGCTGTTTATATAAGCTTAAAACTAGTAGCCTTCAAAATGAAATTTCGAGAGAAACGGAGAGTATCAACCAAGAAATAGAAATAATGAAAATAAGAATAAATGTAGAACATCTAAGAATAAGAATAGAATATCGCCTAAGAATAAGAGAATATTATCTCAGAATAAGAATAGAATATCGCATTAGAATAAGAGAATATTATCTCAGAATAAGAATAGAATAGAAAATAAAATAAAAAGAGAACATCTACAAATAATGATAAAAATGGAATAAGAGTAATTAAATAAACTGTTATCGTGTTTAAAAAGTAATTGATTTCCGAAAAACTTATTTCAGTTGCACGTCTAAAGTCTATCTGTGAATCTACTATAATATATTATCATTATCAATACTATTCAGTTGTTATAAGGGTTTATTGAGATTCTGACAATGTTGACGTATTCTTTTAAGCCGAGCTTCAAAGTAACAGACTTCAGAAAGTGGAAGGAAATGAAACATCTAATTACTTCAGCTTAAACTGGTTCAAGCATTTTAAGGCTAATGACTTATCCTGTAAAAATGGATAGCCATGACATATCGATTAAGATGCATTAAAAAGAAGGATAGAGAAGATTCCAACTGTCAACAGTATCAACAACCAAGAAAAGTTCAGATAATTCCAAAATACCGAACGCACAGCGTTACATAAGCACAAAAACTCACACATACCCAGGAACTCTGAAGGTGGACTCCCAAGGACTCCCAGAGATGTATAAAAACGAGTAAATTTTCCATACAATTATTATTACGTTGCTGCAAGGTTTATTTACGCTAGATTGCCTTTTGTAAACTCAAATACAGTGTTTTGATAACGCTTCGAAGTGCGATAGATACGAACCTCATTTAGATCGGTCTTGTGACTATGATGAATACGTCTTTTGAGCACTTGAATCTTCTAACAAGGCGTATGTAGACATGACAGTTACA